GAACCAGATATTACATGTTTGCCAGGCGTGAAACTGAACTGAAAACTTTCTGGGAAGTTGGATTAGTGCTTGGTAATGGCATTGCTTTCCGACTGCTTGCTGGGTTCATTGGTGGTGTGATGATGATGATGATGATGATGATAAAATACCCAGTGGTAAGGCATAATATACTCCTAAATCAGTGTCTTGCCTAATAACCTTGTGAAAAGATAGTAGTGAAGGGAAAAAATACAAACAGCATGCCTAAACATGGTAAGCTATTTGACATCTTGACTTTTAGTTTTCACAAAATATTTTAACTATCATTCTTCAGTGAGCCTTTGCTATTCATCCTGAAGAAAGATGACCTATACCCCACATTGCATCCACTAACATGATAAAAGTTGGTTGTTTACTCCAAGGACCTGGAACTATCACAGGTTTCAGGCTGATTCAAAAACAGCTCTGTCTTTTGACAACCTCTCACAAAGAACGATTAGATCCATCTGTGTCTAAAGCTTTAGGGAGGCAGGCCACTACTCATTACAAGTAAGACTAGGGATAACAGTTACTTTCATGTAAGGTACCATTTGTCATATGCTACTTCCTGTCACATAAAAAAAAAGCACACTTATAGAAGACTTTCTTCAATGTGATGCCTTCCTTTGACCCTCACACCAGACTCTGAAATCTAACAAGATTTTGGATTTGGAAATTTGTACTTCTAACATGATATTTTCTACATTTAGGCTTTCTGATATTTTTCTCTTTTTGCTACTTAATTATCACATTAAAATCATAGTTAATATTTTGGCTTCATCAATTTTTTTAGTCTTCAAAACAGAACACACAGTAAATTAAACAACTTTTTGCATGTTGTCTAGATATAAGTGCCTACATTTTCCTCATTTATTGAACTCTAAAGACTTTCAGAGTTTAATTATCTTTTGATTATTTGTGTTATAAACATCAGCATTTTTCCAGTATCTGCTCATGCTCTTGAAATAACACTTATATATATTCACCAGACATTTCCTTAATAATTATCAAGAGAACAAGAAAAGACTTCAAGAACTAGACTGATGAATAATGCAGGTTAATATACATCAACTATCAAATATAGCATTTTTTTAAGAATGCTTCAACAAACACTGAAGATATATCTAGGTAGATGGATTGATAGAGACATAGTTATAAAATATAGAGATGCACTCAAAGTTAATCATGTAATCTGGACAAGTAGAACAGCAGCTTCAATCCATTGAGTAAATTGGCCAGTATTCAGTATAAATGCGAGGAGTGTTCATTAATTAATTTTTCTTCCTTTACATCACAAATATGACCTTCTTTAGAGTTGCCTCCTGATCACAAACATACTTCAAGAACAAAAATATTGGTCATGGATGAAACAATTATTTAAAGATTTATTTGTTTATTTGAAAGGCAGAGTTATGGCGTGTGGGGTGGGGTACAGTGTGATACTGGTTCACTCCCCAAATGACTGAAAAGCCTATGCTAGCCCAGGTTGAAGCCAGGAACTGGGAACTCCATCCAGGTCTCCCAATTAGGTGGGAGGGGCACAAGCACTTGGGCCATCTTCTGCTGCCTTCTGGAAGTCACATTAGTGGAGCCTCCATCCTGATAATGGAAAGCTGCGGAAAAAGTCTTGGCTTAACCCACTGTGCCACAATACAGCCCCTATGCTAAATGTTTACCTCCTTCCTAAATTCATATGTTAATTATCATGTTAAGTATTCAGAGGTGGGCTAGGAAGGGAGTGAATAATTGGGTCATGATGGTGCACCCTACAGATGAGATTTGTGTCATTCACAGAGGAACCCCAGAGGGATCTTCTCTCTTTTTGCCATGAGAGAATGCAAGAAGGCAACCAGGGCTGTAGGAAGAAGGCTTTCACCGGACTCTGAATTCCACAGCCTCCAGATTAACTCAGCCTGTGCTTCACTTGTGACAGCAGCCTGAACTGACAAAGCCAGAAACTGACATGAAGCAGTCGGGATGCTGCTCACAAAATACCTAAAAATGTGGAAGTAGCTTTGGAACTGTGTGATGGGTAGAGGCTGGAGGAGTTCTGAGTTATAGAAGAAGATGGTCAGGGCGATCTTGATAAGGGCTCAGTGGAACTGTGTGATGGGTAGAGGCTGGAGGAGTTCTGAGTTATAAAAGAAGATGGTTAGGGTGATCTTGATAAGGGCTCAGAAAAAAGAGGAAAACTATAGATAAATATTCCATCTTCTAATTGAATAAATAATCAGAAAAATGCAGGTGAAAATATGGATAGTAATATCCACTCTGATTAAACTCAGAGAGAGGCAAGTGCCATGTCTCACTAGGCTAATCCTCTGCCTGCGGCGCTGGTACCCCGGGTTCTAGTCCCGGTCGGGGCGCCGGATTCTGTCCGGGTTGCTCCTCTTCCAGTCCAACTCTCTGCTGTGGCCCCAGAAGGCAGTGGAGGATGGCCCAAGTGCTTGGGCCCTGCACCGCATGGGAGACCAGAAGGAAGCACCTGACTCCTGGCTTCGGATGGGCGCAGCGTGCCGGCTGTAGCGGCCATTTGGGGAGTGAAACAACGGAAGGAAGACCTTTCTCTTGTCTATCTCTCTCTGTCTATAACTCTCTCTCTGTCTCTCTCTCACTGTTTAACTCTGCCTGGCCAAAAAAAAAAAAAAAAAATACTCAGAGAGGAAGTGAGGAACATGTTACTGAAAACCAGAGGAAAGCAGATCCTTGCTTAAAGTGGCAAAGAAGTTGGGTGACCAGTGTTCATGTTCTACTGTTTTGTGGAAGGAACAACATTAAAGGGATGAAATTGTATGTTTGTCTGAGGCAAGTTATGGGCAAAGTGTTCAAGGAGCAGAGTGGTTCCATCTGATTTCTTATAATAAAATGTGAGGGGAGAGAAGCTGATAAAAGAGGATATTGTTTAAAAGCCACAGCAGGTCCAGCAGGAAGAGCATCAGTTGGAGAAGTATGTTACTGAGATTTAAAGGGGCTTGCTCTGCTCAATATTGGATTTTTGAGGACTCATCAACTCTTGATTTTGTTTTCTTATTTCTCTATTTTTGATCAGGGATGTCTACCCTATGCCTGTCCTAGCATTGCATTTTGGAAGCACATACATGTGTTGTTTTCATGGGTTCACAGATGGAAAGGAATTTTGCCTCAGGATGAATCATACCTTAAAACAAATCTATGCCTTGTTTATATGATAGTCAAATGAAACTTTAGTTGATGCTGGAATTAGTTAAGACTTTGGGACTGTTGGGATGGAATAAATATATTTTACATGCCAGAAGGACAAGCATTTTGAGGGGCCAGTAACAGAATGTTAGTAAGTGTTTGTGTCCCTCCGAAATTCTAACATTATGCACTTAGAAAAGGGATCTTAGAGGGATTAACACTGTGGCATCGTAGGCTAAGCCTCTGCCTGCTCCGCCACCATCCGATAAGGGCTCCAGTTCATGTTCCAGCTGCTCCTCTTCCAATCTAGCTTTCAGCTTATGACCTTGGGAAGCAGTGGAAGGTGGCCCAAGCTCTTGGGTCCCTGCACCCATGTGTGAAGAAGCTCCACCTTTGCGGCCATTTGGGGAGTGAACCAGTGGATGAAAGACCTTTCTCTCAGTCTCTCTCTCTCTCTCTCTCTCTCTCTCTCTCTCTGTAACTCTGCTTCACATAAATAAATAAAATATTTAAAGAAAAGGGGGGTGGTAAACTAGAGAGTTCTTTCCCTTTCTCTACCTTTGTGGATACCCAGAAAATACAACCATCTGCTAAATAGGAATCAGATCCTCTTCAGAGGCCAGATCTGTTGCTATTAGTCTGAGGTATCCCAGCCTGTGAGAATCTGGGAAGTAAATATTTATTGTGTAAATCTAAGCCACCCTGCCTGTGGCACTCTAACATAGACATTATTTATGTCACTTTGTGGGATGGATTTTGAAGAATACAGAGAATAAGGCATGCATAATCAATTCCCGAGAACTCACTATATGCTATTACTGTGTTCAGTGGTGCCTGAATAATTGATACTTTTTTTTATCATTCTTCAACACGTAGCATAAAATCTTAGAAGATATGTGTCTATTTCTGCCTATGTCAATAAAACAGTATTTTTGCTTTAAAGTCTACTTGATGTTTTTAGTTTCATTCATTGAGACTGAAAGACTTAAAACAAACCTCACATTTCTCTTTTTTTGTTCTCCAGACAGTCTTCCTAGGCAATGTGACAAAAAATTCACACAGTGAAAAATACTAGTACATTATGGTAGTTGTAGGTGTATGAGTGGACACATATAACAGAATGAATGGGAGTCAGTCTCAATACATGTTGCAAGATGAATGGATAAGTTAGGAAGAGGAGCATCTTTTTACACCTCAGTGGTGCTGATGGAAGTTGTGTATGTGTGTCAGAGAGAGAGAGAGAGAGAGAGAGAGAGAGAAGAGTAAAAGAAATCTTTTCGCAAATTATAGGCTTTGAACAAGTCCACAATTTATGGAACCATAGAAATGATACTTGAACTATTCATCGATAAACTGTATCTCAGACCCAGTACACATAATTATCACAGTGAATAAAATACACATGGTAAAACCATCTTTTTTCAAACATTAACTTTTAGAAAGGGAATAGAGATCTTAAAGTCATCATAGAATTTATTGATGCCTATTTCATTCTGGGTTTTATGCGAGTATCTTAATATGATTAGTGGTGAGAACTATTCTTTGAGGTTGCATTTCTGAAAAGTTGAGATTTGCTAATTGAATAACATCTAACATCACATCAATGCTTGTAGACACTTTTTCAACCATTGATATTGGATGTTTTGTGCAAATTTTATGGCATTTCCCCTATACCTTGACTTGGGTAAAGTCATTACATGTTCAAGCATCACGTGGTACAAATCACATCCTAAATCATCATTCAGATTTGGTCAGAGAATAGGTTTTGTTTGTTTTTGTTTCATATTGAAGCACACAGAAAAGAAAATAGTCATTTTTCTCACCTAACGGCACTACTGCCCACATCAAGGTCTTGCGCTGTGACAGCACCGATGATGGTCCCGACGGGAGTGTCTTCGTACACCTCCATAGTGTACAATGGCTTGCTAAAAACTGGGGGCTCATCGACATCCAGCACGCTGATCTTTACTGTGGCTGTGTCTTTAAAAGGGCCTGCCGAGTGGAACCGGTGATCTAGGTGCAAGTTGGAGGCCTCTACTTTAAATGTATATGCCTTCTTTGTTTCAAAATCTAATGGCTGTAGTAAGGACAAATCAAGATAAAGAGGTACACTTACAGTTACACAGATGTGGCACAAATGATAAACATTGCTTCAGAACCATTTTCAAGTTACAACTAATCACAGTAATTTCAAGATTTAAATTTCCTTTATAATTAATGGATAAGAGAAGGGCAAGATATATATTTTACAGAAAAAAAGAACCTTCTGGGAAACTTGTGCAGATAATCAGTTGCATACTTCAAAATCCTACAATATACCTGGGAACGTGCATGCCAGATGGGGTTTGTTCATTTTATATGAACAGTGATTAAGTTTCAGGGAAGTACTTCTCTGTTCTTATCCAATACTGACATCTAGTGGAACTGAGAAATTACAAGCAGAACATCACAAAAGTGGACTTGGATAACTGAAGATGCTCTTTAGATTCCAGCTAGCTATTTGGTACAAGGAACTATGGGGTCCTTCTGAGAACCTTATCTCCTGATATTTTTGATAAGAATGTAATTTTCTCTCAAATAGTGTTGAATGCCTACTTATTTTCTCTAAGAATCTGTATCAGGATTTAAAAGCATACCCACTTGGTAATTATGAAAATTGTTTTGTTCTTTTTTATCCCCAGACACGTATATAAAATTAGTGAGCCCTGTAATGCATTATCAGGATATATTACCAAGATTTGTAAGTTTATTTTTAAAAAAGATTTGTTTTTACTTATTTGAAAAACAGAAGTACAGGGATATAGGGACAGGGACAAAGGTGTGTGTGTGTGGGGAGAGAGAGAGAGAGAGAGGGAGGGAGAAAGAGAGAGACACTCCATTGCTCCCAAATGGCTACAATAACCAGGACCACCCCAGGCCGAAGCCAGAATCCCTGAGTTTCTTCCAGGTCACCCTGTAGGTGCAGGGGCCCAAGGACTTGGGCCATCTTCTACTGCTTTCCCTGGTGCATTAGCAGGGAGCTGGATGAGGAGTGGAGCAGCAGAGTTTCAAACCAGTGCCCATATGGGATGCTGGTGTTGTAGGCTGTGGTCTAACCACAATGCAGGCCCCAAGAATTATCAGTTTAAACATAAGCAATCAAATAAAAGAAGGCTGTGACACATCACATGGGAAGTCATCTTCCACTGATACTCAATTCACTCTCACTGTGAACACTGGACTTTTCTTCTCAGTAACTGCAAATATATTCCACACATATGGTGCCCTTGAGGCGGTTTGTGTAAGTGGTAAGTTTAAAGTCAGTGGCCCTGAATTCTAATCAACTCTGAAAAATGCAATGTGAATTTAACATAGTAATTTTCTTGGATCTTTAGACATTTCTACTTTCTTTAGTAATTCCCTCTATTGTGATGCTAAGGAATTGTCAACATCTGAACCTCCTGTTAGTACTCCTGGGAAAATAAAGGAGATATCTTTTGCTTTAAATACAAGATTGTCTTTCCTCTCAGGTGGGGAAAAAATCATAAAATCCTCAAAATCCCTCACAATTCCATGGAATTTATTTTGTCAGACCAGTAATACCTCTTGACTTTGGCATTAACTCTCTCCACAGTATGTTTTATGCAGGAGGGCCTATATTTATTTCTCCTGTAATTACTACTTTTGTATCTAATTCATTCCATTTTTATTCATGTTTTATGTGCTTGATATTCAATATTTTCTTTGACTTCGTGTATTATTTTTAGATTTTTTATTATTTATTTATTTGGGAGATAGAATTATAGACAGAGAGAGGGAGAGACAGAGAGAAAGGTCTTCAATCTGTTGGTTCACTCCCTAAATGGCCACAATGGCCAGAACTGAGCTGATACTAACTCAGGGGTCAGGAGCTTCTTCTGGGTCTCCCATGTAGATGGCTCTTGGGCCATCTTCCACTGATTTTCCAGCCAAAAGCAGAGAACTGGAAAAAAGAGGAGCAGCTGGGATGTGAACCAGAGGCCATATGGAATGCAGGCACCACAGGCAGAGGCTTAACCTACTATGCCACAGAGCAGGACCCTGAATTTCTGTATTTTTGCTCACTCACCTCTTCCCTGTTACCATATAATATTGATTTCCTTCAATTTCCATACCTTTCCTGTTAAAAACTTTTATTTCTCTTATGTCTGTAAAGAAAGAATGGTGTGCATTATATGTTGGTTGATGACAAGATTATTGGTTACACAAACAGAAACTTTGTGTCTAAACCAAGACCCCTGCGGCTCTTCTTTTTTAAAGATTTATTTTATTTATTTGAAAGGCACAGCTACAGAGCAAAAGGGAGAGACAGAGAGATATCATCCATCCACTAAATCACACCCACATGGCCACAATAACCAAGGCTGGGCTAGGCCAAAGCCAGGAGCCAGGAGCTTCCCCCTGAAGCTTGTTTGATCAGTTGAAAAGCTAACTACTTTGCTGCAGTCAGACCTGAATCAAACGCCAGAGAAAATAACCAAGTGCAAAAAAGTTGATGAAAAACATCACTCAAGCCAAAAATAAAAAACTACAACAATTACTTGGAATGTTTAGCTTGCGGTGAAAAAGACCAAGGCAAAACAGGACAACACATATTTAAATATTTGATGTTACATCATTTGCTAGTGCCTTAGCAATAAGTGATTAAAAAGAATAATTTTAGGTTAGAGAAAGGAAGAAATCTCTAACAAATCTAAACATTCCATATTGAATTAATTAGAATGCATATCATACACAATTAAATAACACATAGGTTAAAGAATATACTAAAGAACATATAAAATATACTTTCTGCTTTTGTAAGCTCAATGCTCTGTGAGTATTAAGTAATATATTTTTATGATAGAGATCCTGATAGTAACCTAGTTTAAGACTACTCTGCATCATTTTAAGAGTACTTTGATCTAGAAAGAAAATTAAATTGCCTGGCCCACAATCCCTTTGCTGAAATGGAATTCTATCTTAGGATGTCATAGTTAATATCATTTGTTCCTCATTTCCCTCTCTACTTTCTCCAAGGTAGAAATGCCTCTGATTAACTTTAAGATTGGGCAAATCCTTTGAAGATAAGATCTTAGTTTTCTTTTCCTAATTGATTATACACTACAGCTACCCAGATGAACTTGACTGCCTATTGGCATGTCCGTTTCAAGCCAGAGATGAGAAGGGAAGAAAATTCTCATTTTTCCTTTTTTTTCTTTTTTTAGTTCAGACACAGTAGATGCCTGTTAGGAATTCCTGACCTATCACAGCAGGTAAATATTTGGTGGTCAGGGAGACCAGGAGTGAGATGAAAGAACCTTTCTGTACATACAGATTTTTTGCAGCTGAAAACTTACACCCTGCAGTGATGAAAGAAGTGAGAAAATTGTAAGAGAAATGCCACAATAGTGTCCTAGGGGGATGTGTTCCTTTATGACCCTTGTCCTTAGGCAAGCCCAATTGACAAAGGACATTGAGCAGAAAGGGTGCAGAGAGTGAACACTGATCTTTCTCTAGGTGACTTTGTCCACCCATCTGACTATCACCCAACATTTGAGGGAATACACTCTAATTTTCAAATCAACAAAAATGCAAACAACTACTCAGAAAAGTATTAACTCCATGATAGAAATATATTGTTATGAAACTGAGCTAATTCAGTTCTTGCGCAACAGAGAGAAACCTTTGTGGCTTCCAATTTTCTGAACCTTTCTGAAAACACAAGGAAATGATTTACTGGAGAGAATTAGACGAGTAGCTCTTTGCTCTTTAGATTGTATCTATGATGGATAATCAGAGAGCCCAGAATATTCAGGAAACAATTTACTTTGTAAAGAGTTATGCAGTAAGAAATGGAATCTATGGAGAAATGGGATATAATATATTAAATTGTGTCCTAGAGTATAAAGGAAAGAATAGGACAAGATATTAGCTTATCACTTATTTTTGACCACTTTGTAAGCTCTTACTTTGCTGAAGTACCTGCCATGAAAAACTACATAAAATTTTTAAGTGCAAAATTATTTTCTCTTTTCAAACATTGATAAGCAGTCTTCTACATAAAATATAAGAGAAGGACTCCCAGGATCTTCCAGGCCTCATCAAGCTCCCAGATAATAAATAGATAGCTACAGTTAAAGAAAAGAATTCTGACAAATTTGAAAAACTGCAGACAGAGTGCTAAGATACCTCTGAGACTGTTGACCCTAATGACCTGTGTGGCAAGATTCTGCCTGTGTGTGAGGGGCATGGAACTGAACTGCATATCACTTCCATCAGCTTACGTGTTGTGAAGACATAAATTGTACAGCTATAACTAAGGTTGTTAATCATTTGACAATTAATTAATTAAGAAAGACTTTCCTTGAGTGGTCTAATCTAATCAGGTGAACCTGCAAAAGCAGAGCAAAGTGATGGTTTCCGGTTAGCCTATAAAGAAGTGAACTTGTGAGCAAAGAGCTCATACAGCAGATTCTTAAGTGGTACCTGTAGGAACTGAGACCTGCTCTTGGCCATAGCTAACAGAAAAATACTGATTTCAGTCATGACACCACAAAGGAATGAAATCCTCCAGCAGCCAGTAAACTTGGGAATGGACTGCAATTTCAGGTTAGATTACAACCTGTATCCACATCTTAATTTCAGCTTAAAGGCCCCAAGTAAATGATATAGTTAATGCCATTCTCAGATCCAAGCTGTCGCTCTTATTTTTAACATTCTATATTGCATCACTTTTTAAGACGAATATGCATTATTTCAAGTACTAATGACATATATAAATATATGCTTATATATATACACATATATATAGAGAGAGGGGGGGATTCTTTAGTAGTAAGACTATTTTATGGCAATCATTTGGTAGATCTTAAAGTTCAAGGGAGGGGCAACTCAAAAACTCCAAATGATCAAAAGATGTGGGTTTATCTTAAACAGGTAGATCAACTTTAAGAAAAGCAGTTGGAAATCAGATTTAGATCAGATTCTACCAGGATAAATGGACAATAGGAGAAAGATTTATTATATCAGGCTGAACAATAAAGATAACGTTTAGAACATGCATTATTTGAAAGAAAA